CCATTGAAGTGAAGTTCTCTAGTTTAGATGATTTAAACAAACTGCTTTTTTTTTTTGAGCCTAAAATAGTTTACAGATAGAAGTCACTTGCTCATGGGTCTTCATTTTTAAAGGAATATTTTTGTGTAAAATTCTACTATTACCAAAATTTGTTATGATATAGAAAGAGGCATTTATACATATTAGAAATGTTGTTTAAGATGTGCAGGGCACAGTAACAAAAATTGGAACTGTGAATGTATAAATTTTCTTCAAACAAAAGAAGCTCTTGTAAAAAAAAGTTATTTACACAGAAACGTGACATAACTGAGGATGACTTTTTTTTAGTAATTATATTTATTATACAGTTCTTTCATTTTAGTGGGTTACTTCCATACATTAAATCCTTTTGATTACTTTGAGTACACTTCATTTTCATACCAAACAAATATAATTTGATCATGATTGTATGAATAAAATTGCCTTTTTTTTTCTGCATTCTTGAGCTTTTTTTTAACACTATCTTACGACACAAGTTCTCTTGGCACTCGATTTATGTAATTTACACAATTGTGCTGCAAAGAACAAAAGATTAAAATTTCCATATGCTAGGATTTCGTTATAAATTTATTTTAATACATCTTTAACAAGGGGCCAAATAAATGGTTTGATTGAAAAATGATAGTTACTACTAAAAACAGCAAGTCTAAGTATCACGTCATTTTATCATTAATTCTCTTTGTAAAACAACAAGGTATAAAATCTTATTCCACTATTTTACACCAAACTCACCCTGTATTTGTAACTTCTTCGACACCATAACAATTTTAAATGTACAGCGATGATATTCTAATACTGAATATAATTACAAGTCTGTGTCCAAGTCATTCTCATTCACTAAAAAAAAAAGATGCAAACAATTAACTCTATCTAAAAAAATGTTTAAACTGGTTCTAACATCTTCAGAGTTATGAAGACGAGACAATAAAAAACGTGAAGCGTTTGGACTGTTATTAATTACTTAACTTCTTCAAGACAGATGATGTGCTAAATCTGCTACATTCTTCAATGCATCTCCAAAAGTTTAAGTAGTACTTTTAATAATACCAGAATACCCATGTTAGTGAGTACATGATGTATAATACACCCGACAGCATCCGGTGTATATACTTAATTCTATAAAAAAAAAAGACAATCATTTTAGAAACTAACTGTAGCAAAACCTCCAAGTAAAATTTAAATATTCTCACAACACTTATTGTACATTAATGCTTCATTCAAACACATGTGCGTGTCATGCAAAATGTGTGGTTTACTTTGGTTCCAAATGAATTCAATAATGAACATTTCTATAAATCAAAACAATAACTTAATAAGTTTCATCATTGTATACTTAATTTAAAGAAATATTGCAGTCACGCCTACCACAATAACCGTACATGGTCTTTTGTTTACAGTTTTTATCTATTCGCAAGTTGACTTTTTCCCTAATCAACATTCAAACCTTTTTCTCCCATGCTTTCGATATTCTACCTCATTTGCTTACTTGACTATTAAAATCATGATGTAGGTTTAATTTAAGAACTGTTATAAATAGTAGAATAAGCATCAAATGTACTAAGTAATTATGATCTTGACTAATCAAGAAACATTTTGTTAACCACAATGTGGGGAGGATTTGACTGAAAATAAATTGTTAAAAACAGATCGAAATGGTAAAACCAAACTCATTTCTTAATAACTAAACAAGTGTATGAATAACACACACATATATATATATATAACAGTTTCCAATATGCCCTAACCCTCAATTACATATTCAGTTAACTTTATCGAGGTCCCAAAATCAACAAAGGTTAAAATTCTCCGAGTGAATATTTTAATTTTTACTTTTCTAGCCCATACAATATTTGAGTGTGCTGTTGTAATGTCGATTTACTTGGTAAATGATTCAAAGCCAGGGCTCGGAGTCTACATATTAAGATATTCATTCTAACTACAGTGGCTATAATACAATATTGTGGAAAAACGTTCTCTGTGTAATAATAAAACGGAACTATAAGTACTTCGGGATAGAGCGGGGACAATTTAATCATTTACCAATAAGTATGGATTAGTGTCACGTAAAACTCGTAATTAAAATTAAGATTAAATTGACGGAACTATAAGTACTTCGGGATAGAGCGGGACAATTTAATCATTTACCAATACGTGTGGATTAGTGTCGCGTAAAACTCGTAATTAAAATTAAGATTAAATTGACTAACATCGTGGAAATAACCAACTCGTCAAGATTAGAGTTTCCGGTTATTACAACTATCCGAGGAACCGAGATATTGCCACTGTGCTTTCTCATTATGTTGGTTGAGTTTAATTGATTGTTGTCAATACTCACAAAAATACTGGTATTGGGTAAACGTAATCTGTTAATGAGCCCACAGTTCATCAGTATAAAACATTCTACTAATTGCCCAGCTCCACTTCCGATTATACTTAAAGAGTTCGTAAATACATGTAAGCACTTTTTTTTATAAAGTAAGAATTTGAAAATGAAACCAAAATAAATAATCTGTACCACTTTTTTTACCTATCTGAAGTTTACTGGCAATGAAAGAAAATTTTAAGCTTTTGTTGTTGTTGTTTTTTTACAAATAACTAGAAAAATATTTCCATCACTGCTCTAATTACAGAAATTTCTGGGTGCTATTTCAACATTGATAACCCCAGTTTCAACGAAAAACTTAGGATTTCTTTCAATGTTATATAAAAACAACTTTGAAATGTTTCAGTTCTAAATTAATTGACTATAAACTTCAATACAAATATTAACCTCTGGCTAAAAATTCAGCTAACACGTTTTTTACATGGATGTTATTATACATATTTTAACAATGTGTGCAAGTCAATGAGACCAAATTTGAGGAATTACGAGAGCTACAGCAGGGTGTTGCATTTTCCAGTTTTCTAATTAGAACCTAAACAAATATACTCTGTTAAAAGGCTTGATCTGTTAATATCAGAAGAATTGACTTCTCGCTACTGTTAGGCCAGACTGTCTTTCTCTCACACAAAGTAGTAGTAGAGGTGCTCATGTTTAGGCATGTATTACACTTAACCACCTTACAGTGGCAAGTAAACTTCACCAAGCCTTTTTTTTTGGCCATCTCAACTCACAAAAATCAAGAAGAAAATGACTTCAGAGACCAGTTCTTGTATTTTACAACCACAACTGTGTTTGTGTATGATTTTGGATTTTTACTTTCTCAAAGCCTGGAAAACTGCAAATTTAACCATGCTGATGGGTAATTCAAATTACAGATATTGCAAGGAGTTCTTGCCTGTATTCAGAATTAAAAAAAAAAAGAAGTTTTGTTTGGGAATCAACCTACAAAAACGTCTCCCTGCCTTACAGGCTTGGTGTTAAAGAAACATGTAATTAAAACTACTATACTTTAAATGGGGAGTTTTATCACTCAACAACACCCATATCTTTCCAATGGCTAACTCAATATTTGTATATAAATATAATTACTAAAGTAAGCTGTATGCAAGTATAACATCAATGAAATAGCACACTATGCAGAAGTTCAATTATCCCACACATCAATAATTCCACCAATGGTCCACCTTACCAAAAACAAGTAGTTCAGACTGATGAAATGACCCTTTGTTCCAACTATTCAGGAACCCTGGGGTACTAGAGGTGGTCGTGTTCAAATATAAAATTTTATATCTTTTTAACATTTCACCATAGGATTTTTTATAAACGTATTTATACTGTGTTTTTCCCAGAAATTTAAAAAATGTAAAAAAATACAAAATCAAGTTTCACACACACATTAATACGGTGTTTTCAGTAACGTAAGAAGTTTTTAAAACACACATTACCAAAATCCAGTTTAACGCACACATTACAGTGTTTTCAGTAATGTAAGAAGTTTAACATACACATTACGGTGTTTTCTGTAATGTAAGAAGTTTTTAAAATACACACATTACCAAAACCAAGTTTAACACACACATTACGGTGTTTTCTGTAATGTAAGAAGTTTTTAAGAAACACATTACCAAAATCCAGTTTAACGCACACATTACAGTGTTTTCTGTAATGTAAGAAGTTTAACACACACATTACAGTGTTTTCTGTAATGTAAGGGACTTTAACACTCACACATTACAGTGTTTTCTGTAATGTAAGAAGTTTAACACACACATTACGGTGTTTTCTGTAATGTAAGAAGTTTAACACACACATTACGGTGTTTTCTGTAATGTAAGAAG